AACCTCTCTCCTTTGTTGGTGTTTTGCAGCAGCAGTGTCAAACGCTATGGGTGGTGAAATTAGAGCTTGAGAGTAGGGTGTGAGCCGCAGTTTCTATTTGTCCCTCTTCTTTTTTTCAGTAAGTGGGTGGGTGAGAGGGAGAGAAAGTGCATGTTGAAAGGGTGCAGCTTGGGTGCTGAGTGTTTGTTATTAGGGGGAGCTGAAGAGATTTGAGCGAGTTTTAAATGATTATTTAACAAGTTTGAATGTGTGACTCATATAAATGGCAAACGAAGCCTCTGTCAGAAGAGTTCTCAGAGATGAAAGCTGGCATTGTGCAGCTCAAGTGCGTAGTTCAGCTGATCAAAGGGATCATGGCTTACACAGAAAACAGTTGCTTTTGTTCAAGTTGACAGTCACATGTATATTAAGACAGGTAGAGTGAGAGTTTATTTCTTCTTGTTCTTTGATGCATGCGTATTTTGTTTTGAAACTGTTTTGTACATCTGTTAATCTGTTTACTTGTTTTTGTGTCCCTTGTAAGGTGGGCAGACTTTTCAGAAGGTGGTGATGTAGCTTCTTTGCTTACCAGAGTACATCAAATACTTAACTGAGTTATTGCGATGGTTAAAAAGAACATTGTTTCTGTAGTCCAGACTTCTGCTTATCATCAGACAGTGCGTTTACTCTTTGGATCCACGTTCTATTCCAGGTCATTAAGACAAAGCATGCCCCTAGAATCGACAATGCCCAGTCTCGAGTTTTGGTAGCATTGCCAAGCATTGATTTATTCCACTTTAAATATAACATACCATTACATTTCACTTATTCAGGGAGACTTTTCTTCTAATCATGCAGTGCAAGTATTCTCAAAATAGTTTGTGTAGCAGCAGCGTTTGGCCAGAGCATCAAACTACCATTTCTCCTTTTTTGGTGATGCAAAATTATAATCATATTAACACTTGGCATTTGGTTCATTACGTCAGGAGTGTCTTTGCTATCCAGTTTTTCTTAGTAATGAGCTCCCATAAGTTTTTCCAGCAAACTGTCACTAACAGGCAAATATCATACCTACAGCAACATTTCATTTCATTTACAGAAAGTTCGAATAAGAAGCCAACTTCAGCCCTGTTTAGTTAGCATCATTACCTGCACTGGAGGTTGATGCAGCTGATTAGAATTACATACATTTCTAATAAGGTGGTTCATTCAAAGCATTACTTTACCTGGTTCTCTGAGTGATAAAGATTTATCTACTTGATTGGTTACTTGAACTGTTTCAGTCGCTTAATTTAACACTTTATGTTCTGTCAAGGAAGAATGTGACTAATTCTGCATCCAGCTTGATCCCCTTTGCATGTAATAATTCCATCTTCGTAAAGCACTTCCAGTGTTGGTTCTTGTGAAGTTTTTTTGGCAGAACAGCATGTTTCTCCCCCCACAGTGCTAGAACCTAGTGGCACAGATCGCTACCTGGGTTCTGACATGTTTCCTTGGCCAAATAGACAGATATGGGGGTGGAGCAATGTGGCATAGGGCAGCATCTAATAAAATGACTTACAGGAGTTCCGTGTGAACACAGACAAGCCCTCTGCTACATACTGCAGTTTTCCAAAAGGGGTTTCTCAAGCAAATAAAAACCTGTGCTAATGCCATTTTTAAAACAATCTACAAAGAATCCTCATGTTCTACATATATTCCAAGTTATTTGTACTAGTAGTAAAAGACATAAATGCACTTTAACATTTCACACTGGTGACTACAGTCTCATTTGTCTTGGTTCTTGTAGGTAAGTGGCTAGCCTGTCAGTCCATGGATAATCAGATCCTGATATTTGGGGCTCAAAACCGATTCAGGCTGAACAAGAAGAAGATCTTTAAGGGTCATATGGTGGCTGGATATGCCTGCCAGGTGGACTTCTCTCCAGATATGAGGTAAGTGTTTTCCTGTCTTGCAGGCAATCCAAAAAGATCAGAAAAAGGTGGAAAAAGTGACCACAGACTTGAATATGCCAGACATCCTGTAACAAGAACACACAGTGTCTTTGCTGCAAAGCGCCACTCTTACAAAGTCTACTAATGGTGTGTGAGCGAGTTACAAGGCAGGTCCATGAGATGCTTCACAAAAACAAAAAAAAAAGTGAAAAAAAAAATGCTGTGATATGACATCCTATGTCTAGTATCAATTAATGAGCCAGTGACTATAGATGCATCTCCATAGTTCTATATATATAGCTCATCAGCTGAGCCTCTCCTCCAGCCACCTCTCTCTGGAGAAATGACCCTGGAGCACTTTATAACACAGCTGCTGTTCTGTGCTCCCACCTGGGGAAATGGATTTGGCTCATTGCTGAGCACAAACTCTTTCCTCTGTTCTCTGACATGACTCTTGTTCTGTTACTTTTTTTCTTTCCAACAACAAATCTGTAGCAGATACCACATAACTGTATATTACAGTAACACTCTTCTGTCTCTCTCTGCCTCTGTAGTTATGTGGTGTCTGGTGATGCTGATGGGAAGCTGAACATCTGGGACTGGAAGACCACCAAGTTGTACCACCGAATTAAAGCACATGACAAAGTGTGCATCAGCGCTCTCTGGCACCCTCACGAAACCTCCAAAGTCATTACTTGCGGCTGGGATGGACAGATCAAACTCTGGGACTAAAAGGAGATGGGGAAGGGGGGAAGAGAGTGGAAGATGCCTGAACAGAGATGGGGGGATTTTTTTTTGCATTGTCATCATGCTTTTGCTTGGCATATGTGCCCTTTGTACCCATTGTATTCTACTCTTCATGGGGTTTATTTCTTCTCCCTTCGCATGCCCTCTTGGGACCTTTGATGTTGTTTTGTTCAGCTTTTTCGTACAAAGACTAAAGTTTTAAAGTTTATGGACTGGCATCCAGTCCCGATTTCTAGTTTAATTTTTACCCTCCATCCAGAGACATTTTGTACTGTATTGGACACTAGCAATGGAGAAGGAAATGTGTGATTTTGTTCCATTATTAGTCACCCAGTGCTAAAGCCGTGCTTACCTCTTTTAATGCAACATCAGTTTATTATCAGATGTCTTTTTCTGAAGATAATAAAACATTTTGTAAATTTTCGGTCAATCCATTTGTAGTCACTGGTGATTGAAATTGGTGAAGGATGCCCACGCTGAGGATTTATAAGGATTTCTTATTTCTTGTGTTTTATTAGATTTGTGGCCTGACGATGAGCCTGCATTGTAGAGTGAGCTAGCATATGAGTTCAGCTTAGGGTCCATGTTAAACACAGTGGCAAGTTCCTCTCCATGCCTAAGCTGCTCCAGGGGCGTAAGGCATTTTCCAAATAATTTTAAATAATCTAAAGTTTTAAACTCTCTTTTCAGGTTTACTTCCTAAATGATCTGAAAGTGGTGAGTTATTAAAAAATAAATTAAAACAGTCTGCAGTTTAAACCCCTTTGCCATAAACTTCTTCTAGATCAACTTTCCTCTATAGGTATTACCAACACACATGGTTCACTTCATACCTATTTGATGGGAAACCTTTTATATACATTAACTCATTAAAATCAACCACTGCTACTGCTAGGGTCAGTATTGAGTCTCCTCCTTTTTATCATTTATCCTCTTCCATTTGGACATATAAAGCATTACAATATTGAGTTTCGCTCTTACACAGACTGTATATATCTCCCTTGCCTACAGCTACTTCCTTACATTCCATCCTCATATCATGTGATTCAGCAATGGAAAAAAATGAATGCCTCCATTTTTTTCTGTGCTTAATGTTAAATGTATTATGTTTTCAATGGCATTTAAAATCCAAAGTGATGAAGTACACCACCCAAACAAATACACACAAAGTGTTATTCAGCACATACATTTGGATCTCACTTGGGCATCAGTGCTCTATGTATGTGCACAATTCTTTTTTTCTGCTTTCAACCAAGCTCCGCACTCATTTATAACTGACGAGTGGCTGTGCTGAGTAATCAGCCCTTGTCTACTGTTCCATTGTCTCACTCCATGCCTTCCCTTTAAATAACTTAAATTGTGTTTTCCGATCAAGTCATATTTCCTTCGGAAGATGAGCTTACTTTATGTATAGTCATGAAGATTTTTTTTTTTTGGTTATTTATCTCCGAACATCATAAATCACTGTAAAACAGGTAAAACAAAGCTACTCTAAGTAACAATTTTAGTTTTTTTCCACATTTCAAATATCCCCTGCACATGTTTATTAATTTACTTACTTATTTTAATTAAACAGCTGTCCAGCATCCTGGTTTCTTTGCGAGGCATAATCCTCAAAGTGCGTCTGAAGATTTGACATTAGTTTTGACTGAAGAACATTCGCCTAGTTCAGCACAGAGAGGGAGCTCTGTTATTTATTTGTTTATTTATTTATTTATACTGCACTTGGGAAAACATACACTCATTGAAAGCATAAGCTTAAACACACACTAGCAAGCACTGATTATCTCGCACACACATTTGAGGTCGGCCAGCTTCCCGCTTCTCATATGCACCATCATTTTTATCATATTTGTTTATTTCCACAACGTAATGCCAGTTAAAATCTTTTTACAAGTTATTCATTTCACTGCTTTCACATAATCCTCATACTGTAGAACTGTTGCAAACTACAAATTAAAGTGAAAAACAATGAGGAATAATTTAGGGCAAGACAAAAACAAATAACATAACAGTCTGGTTGCATAAATGTGCACAGCCTGTTATGATTGGGGATGTGGCTGTATTCACATTTAATCCATCCCATTCAAACTCATGTTAAATAGTAGCTAGTTTCACACCTGCCATCAATTAAAGTGATTCTGATTAACCCACAAATAAAGTTCATCTGTTTTTGGCTGCATCCTACTGCAAAAACCATGGTCCGCAAAGAGCTTATGAAGTATGAATGGGACCTCAGTGTTGAAAGATATCAATCAGAACAAGAGCATGGAAGAGTTTTCAAAGCATTCAATAAACCGAGGAACACTGTGAAGACCATTATCAACAAGTAGAGAAAATATGGCATAACTGACATTACAGGACATCCCATCAAAATTGATGAGAAGACTAGGAGAAAACTAGTCTAAGAGGCTGTAAAGAGGCCTTTGGCAACATTAAAGGAGCTGCAGGAATTTGTGGCAAGCACTGGTTGCTCCCTACATGTGACAACAGTCTCCTATGTTCTTCGTATGTCTGGGTTATGGGGTAGGGTGCGAAGACGTAACACCCAGGCTAAATTTTGCATGAAGATACATCCAGTCTCCCAAAACCATGTGGGGAAAAATGTGTCCAGTGCCACCACCATGCTCCAGTGAAGCATGGTGATGGCAGCATCATGCTTTGGAGCAGGTTTCTGCTTTTCTTCAGTCAGAAAAGGGGCTATAATCAATCATGAATACCATGAGAAATTTCACCTTTCGGCATGACAATGAACCACAGAATACATCCAAATCAACAAAGGAATAGCTTCACCAACAGAAGATCCACGTTTTGGAATGGTCCAGCCAGAAAATGCTGCCAAGTCAAGATGTGACCAGCTGTGAAACTCAAAAAGACTGTAAGAAAATCAAAAGGTGCTACAAAGTATTAGCGTGGAGGTTTGCACACTTATGCAACCAGGTTACTGTAGGTTTTTACTTTTTTTTTTATTTTTGTTTCTATTGTATTTGATTTGATTTGGCATTAAAAGTGGAAAAAGTTCTGACATGATTGTTTTGGTTTCATGACAAACCTGTCATTTTTACAGAGCTGTGTAGACTGTTTATACCCACTGCTACTCATCCCTTTCTAGGCAGTCTACAATTTCAGCGAAGTTCTATACTGTAAGCATGACAAAAATGGCAGAACTCTTCCTGAAGATGCTTTATCAAAACAAGGTTACTGAAACACTGTCAAAGCTGCGGTGCTGATGCTGTCCTCTTGACCTCTATTCTCTGTTCTTTGGTTGTTGCTCATTCTCCTGTGCCATCAGTACAGCCTGCCATTCTGTGGTCAACCGTCCATCAAGTCCTTTGGGCTTTAACCCTGTGAGATTGGTTTGTTAGTTCATTTGTCCTCTTTTGCTCTTTCGCCTGGCCTCCTGGACATACTCAGTTCTCAGCATGCTTCATTCACTGACAAGCTAGGCTTCTGTCTCTCTCTCTAACTGATGGCTCATAACTCTCTCAGAGCATACTCTTCCAGCGAGAGGCAGAGGGTCACACTCCTGGCAAGTAGCCAGCATTAGATAAGGAGATGCCAGTGACTGCTTCTCTAGCTATGCGACTGACCTCTGGAAGAAAAACAGCCTTTACATGAGCCGCTGATGAGCTCCTAGAAGCAATTATAGCCCTCCGCTCTCCTTCCCCTCCCCACCCCGAAAAGGATAATGTATCCGCTACCATATAGAGAAAGTACTACAGTGAGTCAGCCAAGCCATAACAACAATACTCATTAATGCCCCTTTGTTCTTGTTTTGCACTTTGCTGAAACTTGTCTCTAAATTACATTTGCCTCAGTCAGCATGACTGCTGTCCAGATTTCTGCCAAACTACATTTTCCATAACTGAAACATATGCCTCGCCATTTGTTTTCAACGAGGTGAGTAGTGTGTGTTGACCCAGCCCAGAATATAAGTGCTGCTGGCATTGTGCAGGTTCTTATGAAGAAAGAGGCGTGGCTTTGCAGGGTCACTGTAGCTGTGGTAGAGGTGAAAGTGCGAACGCTCCAGCTCCCTCAGCAGGCTGAACCAATAGCGCACCACAGACGGCTCGTCCCCACCCACTTCAAACCCCGCCCAGTGCACATGGACCTCAAGGAGCAGGAGGCCCACCGAAGGCAAAACTCCTTCCAGGACGAGATTCTCTAGAATCTTCCATTCTGCACTCTCCATGTCTAACTTCAGCACATCCACCTGCAAGAGAGAGTAAGACAAGTACCAAATCTTTGTTTAGGTCACGAAGGTCAACCCAGCAATTGGAATTTAAAGTGCTTCTCAGATTGACACTGTAAAAAGCAAGGACGCCAAGAGAACAAAGAGTACAAAAGTATAAGTAGTAGTTACAAGTACAATAAAACGGATAAGAAAGAACCCCAGGTGATGATGGTTACTAGAGATGGCAAATCCGTATTAGTGCGTATGGGTATCAGGCCAATATCAATGGAAATTGCTGGGTAGGCTGAAATAGCACATGCTCACATTGTGTGGTGTCATGTTAGCTATGTACAGTACACTGCAAAAGTCAGAGTTAATATCAAATATTTCAGTATGTAGTGTGTCCACTCTATGACTTTATTATAGCTTCCATTCTTTTCCATTCAGGAGACATGATTTCAGTTTTTTAAAGAAATCTGCAGGGATATTTTTCCACATTTCCAAAGTTCAGTCTTAGAAGTTGGTTGTATCTGCCTCTCACAATCCAAGTAATCCCAGTTTTTGACTTTTGCAAAGTACTGTTTTTGGTCCTGTGGGACAGTGAAGTGTTTGAATTGTTTGAGCTTTAGATGCTCCTGTAAAGCACTTAAAAATAAAAAGTAGTAATTTAGAAAGAAAAAATATCAGTTAGTATCGATACTCAAGGTTTATACTCATAAAACAGGGTAGGATAATACAATAAATAAGGTTCATAATATAAGAGTATTGTCACGAAGCAAAAGTACTGTTCAGAACATAAATTGTAAGATTATGTCTACAGACTGCCCAACAAGCAGTAGCAAAGTAGCATGAGGTAAAATAGGGTTAAATAGCTTTCACACCTTTATGTTCTTGATAAAACACAGATTGAGATGCTTCTTTGAAAACAGTTGTTCAATCTAAATAAGCTACTGATAGACGAAATAATTGTGAAAATAAAGTAATGAGAGAAAGTAAAGAGCAAAAGCCAGTTTATTTTTCATTTTTGCAATTGATCAAGCTATGGCAGACTCTAAACTGACTAGAGGGATAACCTAAAGAGGATGACAGGGAAATATAATGGTGATAAACAAAAACATCTTCAAATTCTTATAAATGAAAGTGCTAACTAGAATTAAGCTAAAATAGCAGCAATTTTTATTTTTATTTTGTGGAGTTGGTAAAGATGTTGATACAGAGTTCTTCAATTAATCCACCAAGTATAATATCTACAAGTTATAATCAACCTGTTTTTGAGATTAGGCAGATTTCTGAATTTAAAGTGAAGACATTGACTAATTCTTTAAAGCACTCTAAGGCCACTCTAAGGTTTTTGTTGGGTATTTAAACAGATGTTTGTGTGGTTTAATAACAGAAATTATTTATGCATTCTTAATGTAGACTGTTAATGTAGGGGTCTACCCACGAATGTGGAAGATAGCTATAATAACAACCATTTTTAAAACAGGCAATTCATCAGACGTTTGCAATTATAGGCCTATTAGTACACTACCTGTTATTGAAAAGCATGTAGCAGAGCAACATATTACCCATCTTAACACCTTTTAGATTACACCCGAAGCAGTTTGGCTTTAGAGACAAATATTCAACAGAAAGAGCTAACTGCCTTTTTCCTGAGAATATTAAATCTAATTTGGTGGGTGGGGGGTTTGTTGGGGCTATGCTTTCAGATTTAAATAAAGCCTTTGACACAGGAATTCATGAGGTTCTTGTTGCTAAGTTGTCAGTGTTAGTTTTTTCCCTAATGCTACTACGTCGATGAAATTCTGTTTGGAAGGGCAGGATCGACAGAGTTAGGGTGAATAGAATACTGTCACCAGCTATTAGCTGTGATGTTGGTGTATTAGCTGTAATATTCAGTCTTTAGATAAATTATTTATCCATAATTTAGAGGTACTCTGAGGTGCAAATGTATGTAGATGATACTGTAATTTATGCGCATGCAATGTCTAAACAGCAAACAGCTAATGAGCTTACTGCAGAGATGGTTCACGATACACACTGACTTAATGATTCTCACCTTTACCTCAAAGTAAATAAAACAGTCTGTATGTTTATAATAAGAGATCAACAGATAATTCCACACCAAATGTCTATGCATCAGGGGAAAAGCCTCGTGGTTTCAGAATGTAAATATCTTGGTATTATAACTGATCCCAAAGTTACTTATAAAAAAAAAAAAGGGTTGTAAATGTTGCAAAGTTTAATTCGTCAAATCTTTGTCATATCAGAAACTGTTTAACCATTGAAGCAGCAGCACTAGGTCCACTAGATCTGACACCTATGAGGAAGACATTCTTTGAACAGTCAGTTTCTTTCAGTAAGAGCAGCTCATACTTGGAATGATCATCCTTTTGTACCTGCCCAGGGACTACAGTTAATAAACGGGCACATTTACAGAAATGCTTATTAACATGCAGTGTCCCTCTAAATCTAACCAAGTTTGTCAAACTTTGTTATTCACAGTTTGACAGCCACTGCAGCTGCTGGACTGGTTAAAGAGACTTTTAACAAGGTTTGTTTTCCTGCGAGCATGCCCCACTTCCAGTACACACAGTATGTCTTCTGTCTACCTTAGTCATATTTGGTACATTTAAGGTTCTAAGTGGCTGTCTGGCAGAAGAATTCTCGTCAGCAAATCAGATGAAGCACTGCTAAAACACGACTGTGCCGAGATCCGTTGCCTCATTACCTCTCAACAATTCCAGACTTTCATTAAAAGTTGGTCCTGGACTTTATTGCCAGAATGAATCACAATTGTTTCCGCTGAACTCATTTCCTTTCATTGGGGAGCGTGGCTCCTTGAGTAGGCTCCTAATAATAATTGAATTGACACTTAACAAGGCGCTGTAGGCTTTCGTTGCCAATAGGGGGTGATTTTAATAATCTCGGCTTCTCTTTACCCGTAGGATTGGTATATGTGCAGCGTTTCTTACCACATTTTCGCTACAAACAGATCTATACAGTGCACACACTTGCATAAGGCCTTATTGCATATTGACATTCCCGAGCAATGTCTCAACATGAGTGTATGTTGGACCTGTACACGGTTAGATCCAGATGTCAGTTATCAAATGTTTAGCTTTTAATTAACCATAGACTCGAAGCAGGTGTTTCACATGCCTCCTGGCTTCCAAAACAATCCTTTTTTTAAAGGAGTCTTACTGGAAGATTTGAAAGTCCCCTGTGACCACAGATTGCAATATTTGAGCACTTTGGCTAAGAGCCTTGACTGCTCCATATGGTGCCATCTTGCTTGCCTTGGAAAAAAACGCAGGAAATTAGTTCAGCAAAGTGGCTCTCTTCAGAGATGAATGAAAGATTGCTGGATGGGAATGGAGGGAGAGAAGGGAAAGTAGGGCAGCTGTTCTTGGGGCTAGAGGAGAGAAAGGTGGACAGCATCTGAACGCTGTGGCCTGAATTGGTGTTCTCACCCAGAGGGAGATCTGGCTCAGAACACTCGTCCTGTAATGTCCTTCACACAGCTGCTCATCCTGCATACCTTTCTCTCTCTCTCTCTCTCTCTCTCTCTCTCTCTCTCTCTCTTTCTCTCTCACTATTTTGGTTTTATTATTTAACGGCTCTCTCTGTAAACACTCTGTAGCTTGCTTTTATAGCCAAAGAGATATGAAGTACTGCTTTAATATATAAGAAATCGTAATTGTTTTACATGTAGAACATCCACCAATGAGCCAAAACATGACCACACATAGATGAAATAACATTGATTATCTCGTAACAGCAATGCGTGTAAATATCTGGAAATTGTTGGTTCAAATGGTTGGTTCTTGTATTCGACCTGTTGGATGTGGGAGACATGGGCATGATTGAGTGACTCTGAACATGGCCAAATCGTTAAGGCCAGACGACTGGGTCGGAGCACCTCTGAAACGACAAGGCTTGTGAAGTGCTCCCAGTCAGCAGTGAGTAGTACCTACTGACAGTGGTCGATGAAGGCTATCCCAGCTGGTCTAAACCAATAGAAGGGCTACTGTGGCACAAGTGGCAGAAGTTTTTAATGATGGTTACTGGAGGATTGTGTCAAAACACACAGTGCGTCACACCTTGCTGCGTATGGGGCTGTGTAGCCACAGACGAGTCAGAGTGCCCATGTGAACTCCTGACCTCTGTTAAAATCTACAATGGGCACACGAGCATCAAAACTGAACCTTGGAGCAATGCAAGAAGGTCACCTGGTCTGATGAGTCTCATTTTCTTTTACATCATGCCTGGCATGTGTGTGCCGTTTACCTGGGGAAGTGATGGCCCCAGGATGCACTGTGGGAAGAAGACAAGACGGTGGGGGCAGAGTGATGCTCTGGTCAATGTCCTGCTGGTAAACCCAGGTGTGCACATTTTACCTGACATTTAAAATCCTACCAAAATGGATGCTAAGCAAAATCAGCCAGCAACTAAACAGTGACCATATGCAATAGAAAATTCCCCTGAATATAGACACATGGTGAAGTTAAGGGCAACAATGTGCATTTTGTAAAGTTTTGGCATGCTGTAAAAATCACTATGTCACAGGATTTGCGTGTTTGACATTACAAAATGCTTTAACGCAAGCTGCACGCTCATACAATATTGTGCAACATTCAAGACAAATTAATATATGCACAGATTTCTGATCATTTGAGTTTATTAAAGATCAATGATTAATATCTGTATCAGCTGAATGAGCACATAAATAAATTAATAACCATTACATTAGTATAAATGTAAAAAATACTGGTTTGGGGGTAGATTGGCTCACAGTCTTTATCAAACTCCTGCATATTTCTAAAGGATTACGTTGACAGGCTTGCAAGCAACTGCATAGGAACAAGTAGCTGACTAAATGTCAGCCTGTTATGCCATTATTTTATTTTTACCAAGTGTTTGATATTTCTTCTGAAAAAGTTTGCTTGGTTGTTTGTTTCCGCTGATGTTGAGTAAAAGAGCACAGTATTCTGTTGTTCACAGCCTTTTTAAATGTTGCACTGCTATTTTGCTAGTGT